CTTCAGTTCTGTTCAGACTTCCTTGTACAAGGTGACATCGTCGTTTCGGTCTCTTTTTGCCTAGTTGTGGTGTCCAGTCCCTGGGCGGGCTGGAATTCTGAGTGCTGTATCCGCGGAGTGGTTTACTCAAATTTTCTCAAATTTTCCCACGCTGAGGCAAGAGATGTCGCGCAGGTCCGCCAGGTCATCTTCTAGCCCCTACGCTAGAGCAACATCCTCCTCTGCTCCTGGAACCACCCAGGCCGGAGCCCCGGCCCAGAACCCCGCGCCGCCTCGTGCTCCGGCTCTACCTGGCCAAGTGCCTCCGTCTCAGTCCATGCCGGCCGGCCAACCACCCCAGCTCACGCTGGCGAGCCAGATCTCCGCCGCCGTGGCTGTTGCTATTCAGCCTCTGGCCGACAAGGTTACCCTGCTGGAGCAGGCTGGCGCGGCCCAACTCGCCGGCCCAGGAACTGGCGTAAACTCGGGACTCGCTCATGTTCCGACGTTCAGCGGGGCCTCGCTTTGTGCTGCCGGATCAATCGCCACTGCAGCGCCGGTTTTACCAGTATCAGTACCGGCTGCCAGCCACCCGCCACAACAGTGGCCGTCATCTGGAGACCTCCCCGTGGTGCCGCCTCGCCTTCGAGACCGGATTGTGCGAGGTGAGTTCACAGAATTAAGCGATTTGCTGCCTGAATCCCTGGGTTTCGAGGGAGATCATGATGTGATGCAACTCGACGTGGGCGCGGGCCGATCTGTGCAGCTCGTCCCCAAATCTTCCCACCGGCAACCCGCCAAACGACACATCTATGATCTTGCCACTTGGGTGGAAGCGTTCACCACATACTCGAGGGTGCTGGCCGACGCCTCACCACAGCTGGCAGGTGATCTCTGGGCGTATCAGGCCATCATTGTCGATGCCAACGTCCGGTTCCACAATGATGCCTGGCTGTCCTACGACCGCAAATTCCGTATGGCCAAGGCGTCCCTCCCTCACCGCTATTCCTGGTCCGTCATTGACCCGAACCTGTGGCAGTCTTGTCTCACGGGCCGTGGGCGGCCTCCGTGCCAGCGTTGCTCCATGGTCCATCCAAGTCAGCCCAGCAGCTGCCCCTTTCGTGGGGGGCTCCCAGCCCCAACAGCGCCTACTGGGAGCCAGTTCTCGCACCAGCCTCGCTTTGACGGCAAAGCCATCTGTCGTAATTTCAACTTCGGCAGCTGCTTGCTCTCCCCCTGCTCCAGAGCACACGTCTGCATGCAGTGCCGCGGCCGTCACCCCGCACGCCAATGCTCCAAGTCTGGTGACTCGACCAAGAAATAACTCTCACCCCAGTGGTGACGCTGCTTTACAGGTGCCCACTAGCACGCCTGTTCATGTTCGGCGCTTTATCAATCTTCTCTCTCCTCATTCAAATGCAGTATTTCGCTCTTATGTTTCACAAGGCATGCAGTATGGCTTTCGTATTGGCAGCTCTCGCCCCATTGCATCTTCTGTTATGTCTCCTAATCACCCTTCGGCTTGTGCTTGCCCTGCTGAGGTTACTACTCATCTGCTTACCTGTTGTGACCGCGGAGAAACTGCGGGCCCATTTGCATCTCCGCCATTCCCTCACATGCATATTTCTGGTTTGGGTGCTATCCCGAAGTCTAATGGCAAACTGCGTATCATCCACGACCTCTCGTCCCCTGCCGGCTTGAGTGTGAATGACGGTATATCTCGGGATGAATTCAGCCTGCAGTACAAAACTGTCGATACAGCTATCTCTCTGATCATGCCGGCAGGGCGTAGCGCTCTTTTGACGAAGGTCGACATCAGGAATGCATTCCGTCTCTGTCCTGTTGCCCCCTGTGACTGGCCCTGTCTAGGCATCTTCTGGCAGGGACAATTCTATCATGACAAAGTGCTACCATTTGGATTGCGTTCTGCACCATACATATTCGATAAATTCGCCACAGCAGTCCAGTTTATTCTCGAGGATGCATGCCACCTAAGCCAATTACTCCACTACCTGGACGACTTTCTGAACGTTAGTTCGCCCCACCTGCCCGTTGCGGAACATCATCGCTCACTTATCTTTGACATGCTCTGCTATTTGCAGATACCGGTGGCCTCTGAGAAAGTCGAAGGCCCATCCACATGTCTCACCTTCCTCGGCCTGGAGCTGGATTCGCTGACGTTTGAGATCCGGTTACCGTCCGCCAAACATGGGGCGTATCTCGGCAAAGTCAACGGCCTCCTTCAATCAGGCATGGCGTCCCGGCGCGAACTCGCCTCCGTGTTGGGCAATCTCTCGTTCGCGGCCCGGGCTATTCCTGCCGGTCGTACCTTCCTGAGGCGCCTGTACGACCTTGACCGTGCAACAAGCAACCTTCCAAAGCACGAGGTTCTCACCCTGTCAGCCGGAGCAGTGAACGACCTCAAATGGTGGCAGCGTACCCTATCAGTCTGGCCAGGGAAGTCGTTCTTCCTCCTGGACAAATGGACAAAGGCGCCCAACTTGCAATTGCAGACTGATGCTAGCGGTAACCAGGGCTATGGAGCGTACTTCCAGGGACGATGGATCCGTGGAGCATGGTTGCCCCACCAGCATTCAGAGTCCATACAGTATAAAGAACTGTACGCTATTGTCATCGCAACCAGTACATGGGCGTCAGAGTGGAAGTCCCTCAGTATTGAGTTTCAGTGCGACAACTCAGCTGTTGTAGACTGCATCAAATCCGGCACCAGCAGATCGCCACCCATGATGTCTCTAGTTAGGTGTCTGTATCACCTTTGCGTTGCTCACGATTGCCTGATTTCAGCAGTGCACATCCCTGGTGTTACTAATACCATTGCCGATGCTCTTTCCCGGAATCTGTTGCAGGAATTCCGCTGCCTGGCACCCACGGCACAGCTCCATCCGGACATGCCGATCTTGCCCACACCGGACTGACCGAAGACTTGACCAGGCTGGCGTCCCTGGCAATAGCACCGTCATCCAGGAGGACATACTCAGCTTCAGAGCGGCGGTACCTGGATTTCTGTCAGCAGCATGGCATCGTGGCCCTGCCTGGAAGCGACATTACGCTGTGCTACTACGCAGCCCTCCTCGTGCGCACACTGCGGCCGGCCTCGGTTCGCACATATATGTCAGCCATCCGGAACTTACACGTCGAAATGGGCCTCGAGTACCCGAATCAGCCGACGTCCCTGCTGTCACGAGTGTTAAGAGGCATAGCCCGTTCGTCGGGACCTGGCCGCCCTCGTTTGCCTATCACAACACCCATCCTCCGGCAACTCTGCCAACGCCTCCAAGTTTCCTCCATGCGGCACCCAGTTGACCAGGCAATGCTGCAGTGCGCCTTCACCCTGGCCTTTTATGGCTTCCTGCGCTGTGGTGAGCTCACCTCGTTGACGTTTGGCAACGTGGCCCTGGACCAACAATCATTTCGTATCACCATCACGCTGCTGCAATCAAAGACGGACCCGGACGGTAGGGGCACGGTAGTCCACGTGGGCGGCTGTACCCATGTCATCAGCTGCCCTGTTACGGCGATGGTGCGGTACCTGACGGCAGTGTCGGCGGAGTCCCAATCTCCTAGAGATCAGCTGCTCGTCTACCACAATGGCCAGCCTCTGACACGAGCGGACGTCACGAGGGAGGTGCGGACCCTCCTACCGCTTTGTGGGATTACAGATCCGTCCAGCTATGCCAGCCACTCATTCCGGATCGGAGCAGCCACGTCTGCAGCTATCGCAGGCGTACCAGAGCACGTGATCCGCCATATGGGGCGATGGCGCAGCGACGCCGTGCTGCGCTATATCCGTGTTGAGCCATCCGATGTGCGGCTAGTATCAGAAGCTAGCCACAGTGAGTGACTGACCAGTAGCGCTGCACCTTGACGAATGTCTCCTCCGGCATACATACCAACTCTCAGTACCGCTATCGGTACCTAGATTTCTTGACTGCTAGCAGCTCCTGCTATACTCCTCGTTCAATGCTCGCGTTATTTCTGAGCACTGACTTATTTGGTTGGCCCACCAGGGTAACTAGCTTGGGCACTGAACTCTCAGTAGCTGGCAGCATTCTCTCTACTCTCCCAAATCACTCTATTCGGTTACTGCCCTTGGCAGGTCAGCCGCCATTTCGGTCTCACTCTCGGTCCCCGCCTCTGTCGGGTCGGCCGCCTCCATGGTTACACACTGCCAGCTCCTTCGCCCAGTTACCCTGTGGTGCCAACCAACTACTGCTGTGTCTGTGTGTGGGTCGTGTATGCCTCCGCGTACGGAGCATGCGTTAATGCAAGTTTTGCGTAGCTTAAGTATGTTAACGCGGTGACGTAATGTTTTCACTGTATGCTGATGTCTATCACGCGCGTGTTCGCGCCAGCTCACGGATGCGCCGTTGTGCGCATGCGCAAACTCTCCAACCAGCTCGCTTTGCATACGTACACCCTTCAGCAGCCTTCGTGCCTGGCTCTCTTTGTTAGTTGCATTGGCTCGCATGACTCTTGCTCCGTGTTTTCACCCACCCACCCACACCGACTTCATTGTGTTACAATTCTCATTCTGTAGCACCCCGTTTATACTACTAACCTCATTCGTCTTCCAAACTCACTCTGCTAAACAAAAACAAGCAGGGATTGGGCACTGAACTCTCAGTAGCTGGCAGCATTCTCTCTACTCTCTCGAATCACTCTATTCGGTTACTGCCCTTGGCAGGTCAGCCGCCATTTCGGTCTCACTCTCGGTCCCCGCCTCTGTCGGGTCGGCCGCCTCCATGGTTACACACTGCCAGCTCCTTCGCCCAGTTACCCTGTGGTGCAAACCAACTACTGCTGTGTCTGTGTGTGGGTCGTGTATGCCTCCGCGTACGGAGCATGCGTTAACCCTGAAGAGGAGGCAAAAATTCAACCCTATGAGAAGAGTGCGTTCGTGACATTGCATGGATGCCTGTGATCTTCACCTGGTTTTTAAACTATAACGTGGCTCTGGCATTTATAAAAAAATTCTTTTCTGTCAATTATCGTGCTTGTAGGCCTGCAAAGTCAGCCAACCTGAACAGATCCATCAGCTTCAGCAGCCACATGCGCAGCCAGCCATGCACCAGCAACTAATGCAGCAGCCGCACCAGCAACTAATGCAGCAGCAGCAGCACCAACGACTAAACCAGCAGTGGCTAGAGCAACTAATGCAGCAGCAGCAGCAGCACCTGCAACAAATGCAGCAGCAGCACCAGCAACCAATGCAACAGCAGCAGCAGCGCCTGCAACCAATGCAGCAGCAGCAACACCTGCAACCAATGCAGCAGCAGCAGCACCTGCAACCAATGCAGCAGCAGCAGCAACACCTGCAACCAATGCAGCAGCAGCAGCAACACTTGCAACCAATGCAGCAGCAGCAGCAGCAGCACCTGCAACCAATGCAGCAGCAGCAGCAGCAGCAGCAGCAGCAACCAATGCAGCAGCAGCAGCAACACCTGCAACCAATGCAGCAGCAGCAACACCTGCAACCAATGCAGCAGCAGCAGCAACACCTGCAACCAATGCAGCAGCAGCAGCAACACCTGCAACCAATGCAGCAGCAGCAGCAGCAGCACCAGCAGCAGCACCTGCAACCAATGCAGCAGCAGCAACACCTGCAACCAATGCAGCAGCAGCAGCAGGAGCGGCAGCAGAGGCGGGAGCCAGAACCGCAGAAGCGACAAACGAAGCCACAACACAGAGCCAGATAAAGCACCCACAGCAGCGACGGAAAACACCTCACGCTACAGCTATTCCAAGACCGGCAGCCGGTCGCCCAGTACCGCACACCCGTGTGTAGAGCATGCAGATTCTTCAACCTTGTACCTGTTGCATTGTAGTCTAGTGCCTGTGTCACTGTAGCTTGGTGTGTTAAAACCTGTACAGTAATAAGACTAGTATCCTTTGCATGTGAAGTTCGAACCTACCTTTTTCAGAAGCTTTCCTTTTTTCTTTAGTTTCTTCCAATACATGTCTTCTGATTGGCCGAATCTGTGCCATCTCTCTATCTCCTGATTGGTCTAAACCGTTGCTCGTTGTTATGTGAAACCTGAACTCTCTTAGTCTTGGCACAAATAAAAAGCTCTGTCTCTGAAGAAAGATGATCCTTCATTTCTTCAACCACTTCTCCTTGCTCTGGTGAGACTTGTTGGTTGTTGTGTGCCCAACCACTTGGGCGCACAACAACTGCCAAGCCTCTTATACGGGCAAAATAAACACAATTACGAGTGCAACCTCAACAGCACCGGAAGAAAAACGAGCAAAAAATGGCTGTGAAGACAGTCGAGAGAGCAAAAAATTAATGGCTGTGAAAACAGTCGAGAGAGCAAAAAAAGGCTGAGAGCAAAAATGGCTGTGAAAACAGTCTAGTACGGAGCCTCGGGAGGGAGCTTTAACCGATGCTGCTCATGGCAACCGCAAATCGGGCCGAGTCATTTGCATCTGAGGGCACGCGGTGCCGGTGGCCTCGCAGACTGGCAACAGCCGCACGGATGAGGGCAAAGCTGAGCTTACATCGGATGTAGGACATTGTGGCAGCGTACGGCTCCTGCTTCTTGTCGGCGAGCATCGATGCCAGCCGAGCATAGAGTGCTGTCGCAGCTTTGCCATACCCTCCAGTGCAGGACAAGACAACTGGTGAGAAGGAGGCGTGCTCGACGTTGGTGATCCGTTCCTCGTAGCGGCGACGCTTCTCCTGCTCATGTCGCTTGTACACAGCGGGCAAGGCAAACTTGGCGTTGGTGGGGGCGTGGGGGTTGAAAACCCGGACATCAAAGTACGAACGCTCGTACCGACCTCCCCAGACTCCACTGGCACCGATGTCTAGGCGGGCGTTGTCTTCAGTTGAAGCTGACCGTAGCGTCATCCTCTCACCTGTCAGCGGCTCTAGCAGCGGTTCCACCACAACTTGGTGCGCAACTTCCTTCATGATGGATGCTGTGAGGTCGCGTACCGCGTTGTGGCGGAGGCTAGGGTAGCCGCCGGTTGAGCAGGAGAGAGCATGGGCCACGGTGAATGATTTACCACAGCTGCAAGCAGAGGGCAAACGCTTCAGAGGTCAGCCATATCGCAATGTAACCGCATCGTGAAATGCGCCCTTCGATAGCGTGAAGCCAAACATCTTTAGTGGTTTGCATGTCAGCCACGACGAGGCACCCTTCTCCGCCGCCAGCTCCCTGGACCGCTTTAAGTCCGAAGCGATGCTGTCTTCCACAGCGACTAGGGTCTCCTTCTCCCTTACGGAGTGGATCCTGCGCACCTTCGCCTTCTCTGCCTTCATGGTGTGGTGAACATCACCTAGGTCCGTGTTTTGCACGATGATCCGCTCCACCAATGGCTGCGTGATGGTCCTGGAGTCATCCAACTGGTTGGCGAGATCGCACGGGTTGATTAGACCCATGCCCCCTAGGCGACAAGGCAGAGCGAGGAGAGTGCGGGTGGTCTGATCAGGAGCGGGGTGTCCTGTGAGCGCCGGGATAAACTCGCCGTGGATAATCTCCTCCAGTGGCTGGAAATTCTCCGTCGCTTCTGGCATGGTGCGAGCGAGGAATGTCCACTTGTCCTTCAGCCCTTGCGTGAACGCCGTGTACGCTGCTTGTGGTTGCGATTGGGCGTACCTGGTGAGGACTTGCAGTTCCTTTACCCATTCCATGACCTTCGCTGCAATAAACTGCTTGCAGAAAGTAGCAGTGCCCAGTCCCGCACCCAGATGACGGCAACCATCTTGCATGATCGCGATGTTAGTCCCATGGAACACTTCCTCCGCGGTTTTGGCAAACTGTGGTTTCACCAGGAGAGTGGACTTGGAACCATTGATGAAGTATCCGTACTTGTGGCCCTCCTCCTCGAGCACGCATACGGCCTGCTGCTGTGGAATCATCCGCAAACCAGATGTGCTGTGCCGCTGAGCTGCTCGCCGCCTTCTGCACGAGTGGGAGGAGCCCAATGGCATACATGGGCATTGCCATCGGGTCTCCCTGGGTGGTGCCCTCCTCAGAAAGAAGACACTCCCCATCGACGAACAGCCGTGCGGGATGCCGGTAGGTGTTGGTGACGGCACCCGCGATGGCCGGACAGAGGTGACGGATGTTGTGCAAGCACACACTGCGGTTCAGCCTGTTGAGCGCATTGCTCGCGTCTGCTAGGAGGACTGCTTCGGTCTCTTCCTCATTCCATAGGTGCCGCATTGCGTGGATTGCTGCTTCCACACCACATTCTTGGCCGCCACACAGCTGAAGCGACCCGACCGCCTGTTGGATCTGCTCTCCGATTATGGTGAGGATGGCTTTGCCTACTATCCTTCTGAGGACTTCACATATGCCGATTGGGCGCACCCCGGGCTTCTTATCCAGAGGCACCAAGCGACATGCCGTGAATGACTCGAGGGAAATTGGGTTGATGACTCCGGTGGCGATGCGCTTGGCGCAGGCGGCGGTGCTATCACATAGCTGGTCGGAGGACGCTCCGAATGAGGTGCACAAGCGTTTCCAGCTGGTAGAGTCCATGCCGGAAGGGCCTGCTGCTCCATTTGTCCTTAGCACCGATTCCAAATGATGTCTCTGTTCAGAGCTTCGAACAGCACCGGGTGCGGCAGTTCAGGGCAGGGGCCGATGATGAGGGCGTCTGCATGCATGGGTTCCGCCGGCGGGTGCTTCTCTTTCAGCGTTTGCCTCACGGTTTTACCATCAGCGGAGGAGTCCAGATTTAGCAGCCCACCCGAGGGCGTTGCTGTCAGGGACTGGAGAGCTGCGCCCGGTTTACCATTTGTGATGAGGGTAGCGAATCGTCGCGCGTCATCTGGACTTTGGGCCCGTTTCCCGCCACGTTCCTTGGTTAGTTGGCGCTGGATGGTACGTGCTTCCCGTACGAGTTCATCTTGGGCCACGCTACAACTGGTGGCAGCGGTGGATGTTTCGGGTTTTTTTTCTTCATGGTATGTTTTTGTTGTTGTGACAATGTGAAGTGATTCCTGGTTCGGAATGGCCCAAGCACAGCCTAACCAGCCGCCGGCCCAGCCGCCCCGTCCGGCCCAGCCTGCTCAGCCAGCCCAGCCAGCCCAACCCGTTCAGCCAGCCCAGCCAGCACAGCCAGTTCAGCCCGCCCAGCCAGTGCAGCCAGCCCAGCCAGTTCAGCCCGCCCAGCCAGTTCAGCCCGCCCAGCCAGCTCCCGTTCGACCCATCCGGCCATGGGCAACTCCGGAACGTTTTGATGGTGGAGCAGCCTCGGACTGGACTACTTGGCGTGACCACTTCACTCAAGTTTGCCTGGTCAATCAGTGGACGCCGCAGGACCAGGCACAGTACATCCCGTTGTACTTGATAGAGAATGCGCAGTGCTACTACCAGTCGCTTCCTGTCGCGACACGCCAGGATGTTCAGCAATTACTGGTAGCTCTGAAGGGTCGGTTTGCTCCACCCGTCAGGACCGACCTCCACAGAGCAGAATTGAAGGCCAGACGACAGCGAGGTGATGAGGCGTTGTCTGATTACTGCGAGGTGATTCGCCGATTGTCTCGCAGAGCGTACCCTACCTTGCCAAACCTCGTGCAGGACCAGCTGGCATGTGACCAATTCATTGAAGGTCTGGACAGCAGAGAGTTGCGCATGGAGGTACGTCGCCAAGACCCCCGAACTCTTGACCAGGCACTGCAGCAAGGACTTCGAGCACTTGCCATACTCCAAGCAGACGCTACTACTAGTGCGTCTCAGCCAGCGGCCGCGGCTGTCTGTGCTGCCAGGGAAGATCGTTTGGATGCCTTATTAGTAAGGATGGAACGATTGGAAACCGCTCTGTCATCTTTGCAGCGACCGCAGCAGCAACCCCAGCAGCAACCCCAACAACAGCGCCGCTGTTACCATTGTGGGAGTGCCGAACATCTGATTGCGTACTGCCCGACTGCACCTCCACCCCGGGGACAACGTCAGCGCCCTTCGGGAAACGGCCGGGAGTTGGCATAGAGGGTCCAGAGTCAGCTCCAAACCGCCATGGCCCGGAAGTGCTGCCCGCCGCGCCTTCCGATGTAGTATGCCATTCCGTTGCTGTTGCCAGTTGCCAGTATGTTATCGGCAAAGTAAGTTCAATATGCATAACTGATGTCCACATGTTAGTTGATTCTGGAAGTTCGATTTCGTTTGTCAGCTCAGCATTCTATCAACAACATAAGCATATAAAATTAAACAAAATTTCTACATCAGTCCGAAGTGTTGATGGCAGTGGCGTGACTGTGGAAGGAGCGGTGGATGTGCAGCTAGAGTTTGGCAGCCTCCAACTTCAGCACACTATGGTAGTTGCAAACATTGAGCCTGACGTACTATTATGCATAGACTTCCTCCGTAGGCACGGTTGTATTATGGATCTGGGACAAGGCTGTCTGCGCTTGAGCAATCAGACCCTTCCATTAACACAGGGAGTTGGGCCCAAGCACCTTTCATGTCAGAGAGTGGAAACAGACCCCATTCCAGTGCAATTGGCTGAATCTGTTGTTCTACAGGGCTATTCTCAGTTGATAACGCAAGGTAGATTACGTGACACTGAGTTTATGTCTCCATCGTGCGGAATGGTAGAGCCAACAGAGTCGTTCGTAGATAAATTTTGTGTCAGTGCAGCTAGAGTGGTCACGACCGTGAGTGAGAACAGTACTGTTCCCGTCAGGTTGCAGAACCTGCTACCACGGCCTGTCACTATAAACAAGGGTACAGTTGTTGGCATGTTCGAATCTTGCTTTGTTGAGAAAGCCGCAGAAGCCGCGGATGAGCGTGATTGTACTGCTGAAAGCTGTAATGCTGCTGATATGTGTTCTGACCCTGTTGAGTTGTTTGACCTTAGTCATCTCGATACAGAAGAGGCAGCAGCCGTCAGGTCTCTTCTCTCGGAGTTCAGCGACATAATTTCAACGGGAGCAATGGATCTTGGCTCTACCGGTGTTGCCAAACATGACATCGAGACCACTAGCTGTAACAGTCCAACTAACTTCAGTAGTCATTCTTGGAATAAGCAATGATCCTTGCCATAATGCATTCTTATATACATGAACAAGCAATGATGGACATAACACCTAACAGCAGC